CCAATAAGAGGCAGTGTGTTGTGAAATTCACCACTGGAAACAAATGTAATCCGAACACTGATTTTTTTTTTTTTTGGTTCTTGTGTTTGAGGGCTAAATGGATTATCAATTTGTTCTTTAAAAAAAATCAGGTTCAACTGTCTAAGCTCAGGAGAGAAACAACTATGGTTGATTTCTCATAAAATTTTCATCTATTTTGTTCATACTTTCTAAAACTTGTTTTACATACAGATTTTAGTTGGTCTCACTGGGACTGTGAAAATACCTCTTCCTCTTTCAGAATGGATTATTTTGGGTAGTGATATAAATGAAAATCAGCATGTAGTGTTTTCTTGGCCGGTTTGAACTAGAACCACAAGAAGAAATGTTCCTACCTTTACAAAACAAATTAGTTCTATAGTGACATGCTATAACCAGCGTGCCTTATTTTAAGAACTATATCTATCTACTCATTCACATTTATGAAATAAATACTCAGGTAAAGGGGAGATGTAATAAATTGTTCACAGCACCGAAGACTTAAAATTTTAAAAATGAGGTACTATGGCAAGACAGGTATCATGTCAGGATTTTCTTAGTTAGAAGGGGTCTATGGAGCCAGTCAGATGTGCACGTTTTAAGATGAGAAAGCTAAGGTCCAGCCATGATAAGAGTGACTTGCCCCCAAATTCAAACTAGAGGACCCCTTTTTCTCCAGGAAACTCTTCTAGATGAATTGAAATTTATCTATGTGGTTCCCTCATATTCTTAAATTATAATATTAAACATACATTTAAGGGCAAATCCAGGTTTTGGGGAGTACAAAATAATTTAATGGGGGGAGGCTTTTTAAAAAGGGGAATAAAAGAGAATATTTATTTAGAATAAGAAAAATAGCACAACAGATTAGTGAAGATTTTTGTACTGTAGTCCCTTTTTTTTCTGAGATCTCTTTCTGCAGTTCGCCGTAAACACATACAGTGTTTACGAGGCCAGCCTGCCTTCCTTGCCCACTGGGAGCACCACAGGGCCCAGGAACAGCCAGTTTTTGTGGTTTCATCAGCTTCATGGTAAATCTACTTCTGCAAACATCACTCACATTATTTCACTGGTGCTAAGAAGCAGTACAATACAGAAAATACAATCATCTATGTTTTATTTTTTATGTCATAACAAAAGCCTGAAAGCACATTTGCTATCATATGTAGTGGAACACATGGTCTTTAGCTAAAAATAAGGATAAGAAATGATGGCTTTTATTTTTGTCTGTAACATGCTAGACTCTCTCTCGTTTTTAGATGAGGAAACAGAGGCTCATAGAAGTAAAGCAAGCTGTCCAACGAGCTGCAGCTATTTGCATTCTAGCACTCCAGCCTCCCACCAATGCTTCCAAAAATGACTCTGTTCAGATGCTCTAGGGGGCCCAGTACAGAGGATGCAAAATGACAAATGAGGCCATTTCCTGGTGGCGGAGCTCAGAAGCACGAAACAGTTCCCCAAAGATACTAGACTCACATCCCTTTGGAAGCCTTCTTAACAAAAATAACAAACCACACAGCCGGTCGGAGGTAGAGTTTGGGTTTTTTCCCAACATTTTAGTTTTAAATGCATTACGTAACTGGAGCCTGCTATGTAGCACTGATTTCAATATACTTCTTTTTAGCTTGGGATTTTATGCTTTTTATCCTTTAGTAGAATATAGTAACATATTCAGAATTTATGATTTCTAGATTGTATCTTAAACTCCTGGTGGATATGTTAATTGCCCAGAGCATGCTGTTTGAAAGCTAAAAAAACTAGTCTTGGTCCTGCTTCTGCTACCAGCTGCTTTCTGAAACTTGATGATTGCTCTCCTTTGGATGCAGCCTCCAATAGTCTTAACCTCTTTCAATGTAGGGCCTTTGGCTATGAAATGACCGTATTAGACTTAAAACTCTGAAACTATTAGACTGTCCTCTGAAACAGTCTATGATTAAAAAAATTTTTAACAAAAGATTGATATGTAGGAATGTTTATCCCAGCATTATTCATAAGGATGGGGTGGGATGGGGGGAATTAGAAGTAACCTAGGGGACCTACTGGCAGAACGCTTAAGTAATTTGTGTTGCATTATGACCATGGGATATCATTCAACTGCTACGAGCACCAACCTAGGAATACATCCTGCAGTGCACGTAGACCTTAAAAAATATTATATAGTGAAAAAAATAGCAATAATCACTCCTGTATATAGAATAACACTAGTTACATAAATTACAAATATTTATTTTTAACACAAAATAACAGTATACATTTTGCAAAGATAAGTGTATATTCAAATATGTCAGGTGTCACAGCTGGGGCTGGTATTTGGCATGGAGATGAAGGAAGAAGGGTCTGTTAGTGGAAAGAAGCAGTTTGCATGGGCCAATGATTCTAGTGTGTCAATACTGTGCCACACACAAAGTTCTGTAATAGTCACTTGCTCAAGAAAGGCTATGTGTTTGTAAAAGTCAACACAGAAAATAATCAACTAAGAATAGTATGGAATATAGAGTGATGAATATAGGAAGTAAAACCTCATGTAAATTCAAACTTACTGATAAAGTAAGGATAGATGAATTTAAGGGTACAATGGAAAATTATCATTAGAATCAGGTCCTCAATTCACAAGCATAAATATAGGTGGAATTTGGGTCTTGAAGAACTTACAGGAAATCCACATGTGATAATAACGAAAGGTTAAATGCTTTCAGCATTGGACACTCACCAGCTTCATTGTTTCTGTTGTCTCCTTCGTTCGGCCAGATTATTTTTGGCTCCACTTTCTCTGGCTTGCTTCTATAGGCAGTGCTGGGCTTCCTTTTCCTTTGGCTGCTGTCTTGGCATGCACGTTATTGATACTTCTTTTAAAGAAGTAAATACTTCTTGTTTTGGCCACACCCAATGTGATCTCCCTCTCTCTTTTTCTCTCTTTCACACATACACACACACACAGAGCTACTCCTAAAATATTGAATAAAGCCAACCCTGCGATCAGTGGCTTAGGAGTGAAATTCAATACAGGGGTAAAAGAGGTGATATAAACATGACAATATGAAGAACAGTGTTCCAGAGAATTCCAAGATGTTATGTGTTCCATAAAAAAGAGATGACTAGGACCAAAACTTTTTCTTATTCTTTACCATAATCTCCATTCTCATAGCCTAAATCTAAATATTCAAATGATATTACTGAATATGTTAGGTCTAATGTTTTATCTAGAAAAAAACTTCTAATGATCATAAATCCCATTACCAGAAGGGGACTAGGTTTTAAGCCCCCTACAACTTTTTCTGTGACCACAAACTAATGATTTCTCTCCTTTGAGTGTATTTTTGCTTTGGTATTTAGAGACTTTGTAAGATTAGCAAATTTACGATATAGAGGTCCAAGATAATGTTTGTTGCTTAGAATGGAAAGAGTTTGAAAATATGCCATTATTTTACTTTTGCCATTAATAGGGAATGAGAAGGTTCAGGTTAATAAACTTCCTAGATACCTCACATTTTTGTTTTTGTTATCACTGTGATGTTTTATACTCAGCACATATGGATGTTATAGTCGATGAAGATAAAAATCCTCTGCATTTTCACTTCCCTATGCAAATGTGCAATGTGTGTGGCTTGTTGATGACCTTTGGGGGATTTTTTTTTTGAGAGTTCATGAAAGGGTGACTTTATTAACAATTCACCATGCCTTAAGGATAAAGCCATTCATGTTCTTCTTTTAACTGAATTTATTGGAGTGACATGGGCTCACAAAATCATACAAGTTTCAAGTATACAACTCAACAAAACATCATCTGCACAATGCATCGTGTGCCCATTGTCCCAAGCAAAGTCTCTTTCCATCCCCCTACCTTGGCCCACTTCCACTCACCCACTCCCTTTCCCTCTGGCTTTCACTGCACTGTTGTCTATCCCTATGCATTATATACGTGTTTTCTTAATCCCTTTATCTTCTTTCATCCTGCCCCCTAATCCTCCTCCTCCCAGACAGCTGTCAGTCTGTTCCACGTATCCATGCCTCTGTTTCTAGTTTGTTCATCAGTTTATTTTTTTCATTTAATTCCACATGTGAGATGATATGGTATTTGTCTGTCTCTTTTTTCAAAATATATTTTATTGATAATGCTATTACTGTTGTCCTAATTTTTCCTCCTTTGTCCCCCTCCACCTGGTAACCCCATTTCCTCTGGCAATCCTCCACCTTAGTGCATGTCCTTGGGTCATGCATATAAGTTCTTCAGCTAGTCCATTTCCTACACAGTCTTAACATCTCCCTGTCTATTTTGTACCTTCTAATTTGTACTTCTTAATCTCTGCACCTTGCCCTCCATTCTTCCCCTTCCTCCTCCCAACTGATAACCTTCCAAGTGACCTCTATATCTATGATGTTATTTTCTGTTCCACATGTTTGCTTAGTCTGAGTCTGTTTTTTATAGATTCTGTTGTTGATAGTTGTGAATTTATTGTCATTTTAATGTTCAGTGTTTTGATCTTCTTTTTCTTAAATAAATCCCTTTAACATTTTGTATGACAATGGCTTGGTGATGATGAACTCTTTTAGCTTTACTTTGTCTGGGAAGCACTTTATCTGCTCTTCCATCTAAATGATGATAGCTTAGCTGGATAGAGTAATCTAGGTTTTAGGTCCTTGCTTTTCATCATTTTGAATACTTCTTGCCAGTCTCTTCTTGACTGCAAAATTTATTTTGAGAAATCAGCTGACAGTCTTATGGGAACTCCTTTGTAGGTAACTATTTGCTTTTCTCTTGCTGCTTTTAATATTCTCTCTTTAGCTTTAAGAATAATTTATTTATCTATTTTTAGAGAGAGGGGAAGGGAAAGGGAAAAAAACATCAACGTGTGATTTCCTTTCATGTGCCCCTTACTGGGGGCCTGGCCTGCAACCCAGGTGTGTGCCCTGACTAGGAACCAAACCTGCCACCCTTTGGTTCACAGGCCCACGCCTAATCCACTGAGCTGTGCCAGCCAGAGCCTCTCTTTATCTTTAAACTTTGGCATTTTAATTATGATGTGTCTTGGTGTGGTCCTCTTTGAATCCATCTTGTTTATAACTCTCTGTGCTTCCCGGACTTGTGTGTCTATTTCTTTCACCAAATTAGGTAAGTTTTCTTTCACTATTTTTTCAAATAAGTTTTAAATTTCTTCCTCTTCTTCCAGCACCCCTATGATTCAAATGATGTACGTTTGGAGTTGTCCCAGAGGCTCCTTAGCCTATCCTTGTTTTTTTGGATTCTTTTTTCTTCTTGCTTTTCTGATTGAATGCTTTTTCTTCCTTATTCCAAATCATTGATTTGCATCTCAGCTTCATCCACTCCACTTTTTTTTTTAAGATTTTTATTTATTTATCTTTAGAGGGGAAGGAGAAGGGGAGAGAAACATCAATGTATGGTTGCCTTTAGTGCATCCCATGCTGGGAATTTGCCTGCAGGGAACTGGCCTGCAACCCAGGCATGTGCCCTGACTGGGAATTGAACCGCGATCCTCTGGTTTGCAGGCCTGTGCTCAATCCACTGAACTACACCAGCCAGGCATCCACTCCACTTTTAACTCCTCATATATTTTTATTCATTTTACTTAGTGTAAGCTTCATTTCCACCTGGGTCTTTTTATGCTGTTGAAGTACCAGGTGAGTTCCTTAAGTACCCTAATAGCCAGTGTTTTGAACTCTGTATCTGTTATATTGCTTATCTTCATTTTGTTTAGTTATTTTTCTGGATTTTTGTTCTGTTCTTTCATTTGGGCCACATTTCTTTGTCTTTTCATTTTGGCAGCTCCCCTGTGTTTGTTTCTTTGTATTAGGTATAGTTTCTTTGACTCCCTGTCTTAGTAGCATGGCCTATTGTAGAAAGGCACACCATGGGTTTGGTGAGGCAGAGCCTTAGGTAATCACCTGGGTGGGGAGACCCAGGTGAACCAGGTTGATGGAGTCTTAGATATGGTGTCTCTACCATGGCTATGTGGGGGAGGGCTCAGAAAGGGGACAATGCCACTGCCTGGCCTCTGGAGTTTTGTCTGGGAGGAAACTGTCCCCTGGTACTCACCCTGATGCCAGACACTGCACTTTCCCCCCTTATGCTACTGGTGCCCTTCCATATGCTGCCCCCATGCTGAAGCCCAGAGGGAGCGAGTCTGCATGTGTGCTAAGTCTGTTGCGGACCCTTTAAGAGGAGACTTCTGAGAATCCTGCAATTGCTTCTGCTGCCCCAACCCCCACTGATTTTTACAACCAAGAATTATGGGGACTTATCTTCCTGGAACTGGAACCCTGGGCTGGGCTGTCTGATATGGGGCTGGGATCTCTCCGGAATGAGGGATCCCTCCCAATCCACCACCCATTGGTGAGACACCATTTGTTCTGCATTTCTGTATCTCTGCCCCTCCTACCAGTACAGACTAATGTGACTTCTTTAATTCCTTGGTTATTGGACTCCAATACAGCTTAATTTTCTGATGATTCTGGGTGATAGTTGTTTTGTAGTCTAGTTATAATTTTTGCTGCAGTTGTGTGAGGAGGCCAGCCTCCATCTTGACCAGTACTCACAAATACATCTCACATCTGCGGAGCAGCCTGAAGTTCATGATGGATTTCCCAGCACTTGATATTGGCGTAGAAGATGAACTAGTGAAGATTTCCCAACATCTGAGTCTTCTAGGACCTTCTCCCAATTCAGGGATGCCTTTTTCATATTTGTCTTTCTCTGACTAGTTTATTTCATTTATCATAATAATCTACAGGTTTATCCATGCTATTGCAAGAGAAATTTTCTTTTCTTTCCTTTTTTCATGTCAAAGTAGTATTTCATTGTGTAAACATACCACAGCTTTTTGACCCACGTCCTATGATGGGCATTTGGGTTATTTCCAGATCTTGGTTATTGTAAATAGTGCTGCAATGAACATAGGGATGCATATATTCTTTGAATTAATGTTTCAGGTTTCTTTGGATATACTCCCAGAAGTGAGATCATTGGGTCAAAAGGCAGTTCCATTTTTTAAAAAGATTTTATTTATTTATTTTTATTTTTTAAGGATTTTATTTATTTATCTTTACAGGGGAAGGGAAGGAGAGAGGGAGAGAAATATCAATATGTGTTTGCCTCTCATGTGTCCCCCACTGGGAACTGGCCTGCAACCCAGGCATGTGCTCTGACTGGGAACCAAACTGGGATCCTTTGGTTCGCGGGCCCGTGCTCAATCCACTGAGCTATACCAGCCAGGGCTATTTATTTATTTTTAGAGAGAGGAGTAGGGAGGGAGAAAGAGAGGGAGAGAAACATCAATGTGTGGTTGTCTCTTGCATGCCCCCAACTGGGGATCTCGCCTGCAACCCAGGCATGTGCCTTGACTGGGAATCAAACCAGAGACCCTTTTGTTTGCAGGTTGACACTCAATCCATTAAGCCACATCAGCCATGGCTCATTTTAAATTTTTTGAGGAACTCCATAATGTTTTCCACAGTGGCTGCACCAATCTGCTTCCCACCAACAGTGCACAAGAGTTTCCTTTTCTCCATATCCTTGCCAACATTTATATTTTGTTGACTTATTGATGATGGCCATTCTGACAGGTATGAGTTGATATTTCATTGTGGTTTTCATTTGCATCTTTCTGATGACTAGGGATGTTGAACATTTTTTTCATATGTCTTATTGGCCACCTATATGTCCTCTTTGGAGAATTATCTATTCAGTTTTTTAATTGTATTATTTGTCTTCTTGGTGTTGAGTAGCATAAGTTCATTATATATTCTGGGGAAAAAACCTATCAGATATATTATTGGCAAAAATATTTTCCCATCCAGTGGGTTCTCTTTTCATTTTGTTGATGGGTTCTTTTGCTGTACAAGAGCTTTTTAGTTTGATGTAGTTCCATTTGTTTATGTTTTCCTGTGTTTCCCTTGCACAAGGAGTTATATCTGCAAAAGCATTGCTGTAAGAAATGCCTGAATTTTACTGCCTATGTTTTCTTGTAGAATTTTTATAGTTTCTCAACTTACATTTAAGTCTTTAATTTATTTTGACTTTATTTTTGTGTGTGATGTAAATTGATAGTCTGGTTTCATTTTTATTGCATGTTGTTCAATTTTCTCAACATCATTTATTGAAGAAACTATCTTTATCCCATTTATGTTCTTGCTTCCCTTGTCAAATATGTATTAACCATAAATGTGTGGGTTTATTTCTGGGCTCTCTATTCTGTTCCATTGATCAGAAAAAGAGCACCCCTAAGGTCCCTGCTGGGAGCAGGCAGCAGACTTCTCTGCAGGACCCGAGTGCAGCAGAGTGGTGTTGCCAGTAGCTGGGGAGCAAGGCAATACAGTCCCCGGGCTGCTGCTGTAACAACAGGAGTGCTTGACCCTGGGAAGGTGGTGTTAGGGTCTCCAGCAGATTTGCTTCTCTCCCAGGCAGACTGAATCTGCCAGATGCCCTGGCCCAACTGCCTGGCCTCTGGCATCTGGACCTGCACAACAGCTTGTTGGTGATCCGACTTATGTGTTTCGTTTCACAAGCTGACTCACCTAGAAGACTCCACAAGGATTACAGTGCCCTCAATGTCCCTCACAATGGCAGGCTGGCAGAGTTGCAAGGCCTGCCCCAAGTCAGGGTCTTCCTGAGCAACAGTCCCTGGGGCTGTGACTGCCACATGGTGGACATGGTAGCCTGGCTCAAGGAGACAGAGGTAGTGCAGGGCAAAGCCTGGCTCACCTGTGCATGTTCAGAAACGATGAGAACCAGGTCCTCCTGGAACTCAACAGCTCCACCTGGGCTGTGACCCTATCTTCCTTTCATTCCTGAAGACTTCTGGTCTTCCTAGGTATTGCTGTAGCCCTTATACTTGCCATTTTCCTACTCATTTTTTTTTATTTGAACCATAAATGGGTAAAAGAGTAGATGCATACCACCAGAGATGCATGCAGAAATTACATGAAAGGGCATCATCATTGCAGATATGAAATCGATGTGGATTCTAGGTTAACAAACCTCAGCTCTAATTTGGATGTCTGAGAAACACGCAAACAACGACGCCTGTACATGAGATGTAGACTGATTAAGCTTTACCCTGTCCCAGGCTTGCTCCATTTCCACTCTCCATTGTAGACACCACTGACCTTGACTGAAAGCAGTGAAGGGAATTTGCATCCTTGTCATGTTAAGTGTCTTGGTATGGTGTATAAATATAAGATGGTGAACAATTGCATGGTCTTTTACCCTCTTCCTTTCCTTGGGACTCACCATGTTGGGAGGGATTTTTCAAGTTTCAGCATGAACATGAACCCCTGGCTGCCTGTTTCTGGTAGTATAGTTCAAGGTATAACAAGTGTACCAACACAGACAGCATTCAACAAGAGCTGTCTCAACATTTTTGAGAAAAATACTCTATTCATAGATAGTAATAGTATCAGTTTTATTCCTATGTACCTAAATTCTGAAGAAAATGACTGCATTTTATACGCTGCCTGCAGCCCTTAGCAAGCAAGCTCTTCAAAGTAACTCCGTAGCACATAGGAGCACCAGCATCCGAGAGCATGCTTATATTTTACTGTACTGCGTATTACAGAAAATACCTTGCAACTTCAGATAACTTTTTTGACAAAGTAAATTACTTTTTTTCTGTTTGGAATAGTAAATTACTTTTTGATTGCAGTTTATATGAAACTATACAGAAGTTGTTTTATAAACTGCATTGAGATCCAACAGGCTGGGTTGTTTTTAAAAAATTCAATAAGGGTTCTTAAAAGAATTGTTTTAAATGCCCGAAAACCAAAAAAACAAACAAACCATTCTTTTGGAATTATTCTTGACTTTGTCGTGAATGGAAAAAGTGAACTTAAGAGTAATCTTGAAGGTAGCTGGGAGACCTTAATTTAAGGCATGGTCATAAAATTTAACAGCTGGAAGGGTCCATAAAGATTATTGATTTCAATTTCTTGATTTTCAGATGAGCAAACTGAGACCAGGAAAAGTTAAGCAACCTGACGAAAATCACAAAGTCAGGACTTGACACTATAAATGCTGATGAGGTTATAATTTTTTAATCCTCACCCAAGGATATGTTTATTGATTTTAGAGAGAGAGGAAGAGGGAGAGAGAGAGAGAGAAACATCCGTGTGAGAGAGAAACAACACTTGTTCGCTTCCCCTGTGCTCCCTGACCCGGCTGCAACCTGCAACATTTTGGTGTGCAGGACGACATTCCAACCAACTGAGCCACCCGACCAGGTAGGTTACAATTTCTTTTCCCCCATGATACTTACTATAGGCCCTGAGATATATTGTAAGTTATATGAATTTGGTTTATTCCAGTTGCAAGTGATTAAACAAAACTTCCAGGCTCTGACCAGTGTGGCTCAGTTGGTTGTGCATCGTTCCATAAGGCAAAAGGTCTCTGGTTTAGTTCCCAGTGAGGGCACATGCTGGGTTGCATTGCAGGTCTGGTTCCCGGTAGGGGTGTGACAAGAGGCAACTGATCAATGTTTCTCTCTCACATCAATGTTTCTCTCCTTTTCTTTCTCCCTCCCTTCCCCTCTCATTAAGAATAAATAAATTAAATATTTTTAAAAACCCACAAAATCCTCCAAACCTAGCCTAATAATTTAAGGAAAGGGGAAAATTATGGGTTCCTGTAATTAAGAAGTCTAAGGGAGTACAGCTTCAGGCATCCCATGATCCAGGAGCTCCAATAATATTAACATACCCATTGTCTTTATCATGGATTCGCTTCACTCTTATTTTCAGACAGATTCTTGCCTCATATTTGAAAGATGGTGGCAGCAGCTCCAGACTCTATATACTGTCAGACTGAAGTTTGGTAGGAAAGTGCCAGGGGTTCCAGAAATAGGCTCACAACATCTGATCGACTCTGATTGAGACTATGTGCCGTCTATAGAGCAGTCACAGAGGCCAGGAGAAATGTGATACGTTGGTTGGTTTAGGCTTGGGCCACACAGTCTCGCATAGTGAGACTCAGCACACAAATGATCTGAAAAAAGTTAAATACAAGATGGTGACGGAAGGAGATGTGACCTGGGGAGGTGAACACACAACCCAGTGTACACATGATGGAACTGTGCCCCTGAAACCTGTATAATTTTGGTAACCAGGGTCACCCCAACAAATTCAGTAAAAAGAGAAAAAAGTTCAATACATTATGGGTCATTTATTATTTTCTAACAAACTATTATATAGCACTTACTCTGCCAGATTGTTCTTTTAATTTATTTATTTTAATTTTATTTAGTTATTTTTCAAGTACAGTTTTTTTGTCTATTTCTCCCATCCCAGCCCCCCCCTCTCCCCCCTCCCTCCCATTTCCCCCCCCCCCCCCTTTCCTCCATCCCTCCCCCTTTTTCCCCTTAACTTCCCTTCCTTCTCCCCTCTGGTCACTATCCCCTTAGAACTTTACAAATATTAACCCCCTTACTCACCTTAACAACCCAATGAGATAGGTAGTGTTGCTATCCCATTTTAGAAATGAAAAAGCCATGGGAGAAATAGACAAAAAACTATACTTGAAAAATAACTAAATAAAATTATTTTAAAAAAATAAAATAAAATTTGAAAAAAAAAAAGAAATGAAAAAACCAAGTCACAAAGAGGTTAGGTAATGTGGCCGATGTCGCACTGTTTGTGATCTGCAGAGCAGCCATGATTCGGAGGCAGTCTTGCTCCAGAATGCCTGCTTTGCAATTGCAGAGCATTTTAATTCTTTCCCTTTATCTAGTATAACTATCTTCCTACTACAACAGTTTACTAAGCTGCGACTAGATTTTTCTTCCTTCTTGTCACGAGGAGGCTGATTACCAAAAAAGGTAATTGGTTTACAGGTGGGCTGGCAGGGCCTGAGCTAAGAGAGAGAGAGATCCAATTCAGTGAAGGTAACAGCTAGCTCTCGGTGTCCTGGCCTTCCTTTTTAAAGAGTCTTTAGGGCTCTTGTAGAATGTGTTCCCTTGCACACTACATTTGCTAATTCTGGGAACTGAGAAGATTTGCCAATAAGTTTCTTGGAGATGGATGACTTTTAAAATGTCAAATGCAACATTGAGCCGTTAAGTTGTGCTGTTTAAAATGTCAGGAAAAACCATTATTTTTGCAGACGGAGCTTCAGTGTGGTCTGATTTCAAGTTTGTGAAATGACTTCTGTTTTTGAGAAGAATCCTTCTTTTCTTAGTTTGAAATGTTGCTCTTGTTTTGTCCAGAGAAGAGCGGTCTATGAGGCAGTGCTGGCCTCCACATCCAGCCTAACTCAGGGAAACAGCTGAACTCCTCCAAGGTGTTTCCAACCCCTGCTGGCCCAGTCTTCTCAGAAACTCTGCAGACAACTAGCCACTGTCCTTCCCTCTCCCCACCTCCCTTCTCCCTCCTCCCCCAATAGCTGAGCTGGAGTGATGTCCCCTCCAGAATCCATTTCCTGTTATGTTGGTTTTTCTATTTTTTTTTCAAATCCTCCAGTTTTAGAGACAGAGAGAGACATTGATGTGAGAGATAAACATTGATTGCTTACCTGCTGAAAGCACCCCGACTGGGGATCAAACCCGAAACCTAGGTAGGTGTCCTGACTGGGATCAACCTGCAGTCTTTGCTGTACTGGACGATGCTCCAATGGAGCTACCAGCCAGGGCTCCTGCTATGTTTTTTTAAGCCACTTTTCTGCAGAGCATGGGAGGGAAGAGTAGAAGAGAACTTACCCCCCAACAGAAGATTATATTTGAGGGATTTGGAGAGGAGCAGCCTTCGGTCAAGTACCTGATAATGACCAGTCCCAGTGGGGAGTTAGAGCCTTGAGGTTTTGTGTCTATTGCTCCGCACCTGGTATTGTAGGAGCAATACAATTTCATCCAGGTACTGTCCAGTGATTAGGAGCTTGAAATCAAACCACCAAAAAGTATCCCCAAGTTTGACCGATACCTCAGAGTGGTGGGGAGAGAGGTCATAACTCCCCTTGTTGAAGAGGGAATGAGACCGGAGGGGCTAGAGCTGCCTCTGTGGTCTGTGAACCTCCAGCCTCATAACGTACTATTTTAGTACAGTCAGCCCCTCCTCCACTTGCTTCCTCTCTCGTCATGACCCAGCTCGATCATCCCAACTTGTTAGGTTGTAGGAGATGACTCCCAACCCACCTCTGCATCTGAAATTATATGGTAATGTCTGTCACATAATTTACAAGAAACAATTAATTTGGGGGAAGGCAGGAGTAACTCTGCCTTGATAGTGTAGGAGACTGCCATCTTGTGTCTTAGCAAGACTCGATATGAGTATGTTATTTACACATTTATTAGAAGCACTTTGATTAGAGTGAGCCACATGGCACAGAAGCCTAAAGAACTGGATTGCCTGTCAAAGGCCCAGTTTTTAGCCTGAACTTAGAACCACACTAACTGACATTGAACAAATCAAAATCTTTCTGATTCCTTTTTTCTCTCATAAAATGAGGAAATAAATGAGATCATTTTTAGGAAAATAAAAATATCTGCTTTCTACCCAATGAATAAGATCTGTATCTAAGAAATCAGATTTTTAAAAAATATTATTTTCTCTTTCCACGGTCTTGGAAGTGTATATGAATATTTGTCCCTGTGTAACAGATAAGAAAACTGAGATACAGAGAGATTTATAGCTCACTTAACAACAAACCCCAAGAGAGCTTCTGTTCTCCTGTGTGATACTTTGTTGATGAGTCACTGACCTACATACATCACAGAGGCCATGCTGGCTATTCTACCCTGGGAGTAACACAGTCAAGTCCGTGGGTATGAGTAGCTTGGTTCCCAGATTGTTCAGCTGGGAGATGATATTTAGAAGGATTGCTGAAAAACAATTCTAACCAAGCGAAGCATTAGTCAGCTTGGGAAAAACTTTATGGCTTGGGAAGAACTTCTCGGGGAGGAAGAGGTAACAGTATATTCTATACATTCCAGGAGGACCATTTGCACAGTCAGTGGGGGAATAATTTGTTTTGGACGTACACAGAGAAAAGGGAAGTGGTGGGGGAAAGCAGACCAGACTGGAAGTTAGGAGACTCCTCTTACAGGCCAACTCTGCCGATTAATACAGGGCAAGCTACATACCCTTTCTTACCTTAACTTCGTTACCTGTAAAATGGGAGGGTGGGACTAGACGGTCTCCAAATTTCTCTAAGTTCTGACATTACTAGATTCCTTCCCCAAGCGTAAACTTTCTCCGGTCATAGCAGTGATTCAGAGGCTTCTCCTTAATTTTCAAAACAAGTCCTATAGGATCAGGGGGATGTCCCTCTGTGGTCTCTCTCTCCCCAGGCTCTGTGTTCTCTTCAGCTTACAGGTAGCCTTTCTTAAACGTAACCTTGTCGAGGCCGACCGGTATTATTGAAAGTGGTATATGTTTTACTCTCCTGAGTTGGGCTCTGTCGGTTCCACGTCATTCATTTCAGGGTCTCTCCCATCAGCACACATGCGGCCTTGCCTTCCATTTAGTAGAATTGCATCTCCAGAAAACTGCAAGTCCATGCTTGCTCAATATTTCAAGTATGACTATTCCTCAAATTTGAATGCTCATTATTTAATCATTTCTTGTGTAACTTTCATGGTATGCTGCTGATATGTAAATATAGAATTCTGTCACTCAAATGTACAATTATTAGTTAACTATTACTTTTTTTATTAAGGGAACAGCAACTAATATGTGCATATGATAACATGTGCATATGATTTTATATACACATACACATTTTCCTCTGTGCGTGATGTATTTTATTGGCTTAAAGAACTGGACTATATCTGTTCTTATATTTTTAATTTTATGCTGGAGCTCTGGTTGCAACTATCTCCTACTTCTTTCTACTACTTGATTATTATAAAGTCTTTATGTAGAGCTGAAGTTGCAAGTGTCCTTCAAGATCATCTGTGATCCAACCTTTTACTTTCTAGTTAAGAAAACAGAGGCCCCAGGAGGTCGCGGTGTCACTACTGGTCACAGCCCAGCGAGAGCTGGAGCTGACGGGCCTTGCTTCCCAGCCCCTGATGGTTTCCCTGCTGCAGCTCAGTAACACTTACGGACACAACACAGGACACACACGTGAGTATGTTTACATAGATATAAACAGAAATATTCATGTTTTGCTTACATTCTGTTACAGAAAGGTAGAGACATTCGGGTATACATTTCCCTCATGAACGGCTCAGAAATGTGCATCTTAATGAATATTATTCATTGGTGAAAGAAAATATTGCTAGGTGAGTAGAAGATATGTATCCTGTTTCTTTAGAAGCCTACTTCACGCTGTGCCAAGGGGATAGAGGAGAAGTGCTGGTTAATAATTCATAGTGTGCATTCATCTCTAGTCCTCTGACTAAAATATTAATTCTCCACCGATCAGCACTATTTGCTTTCTGCCCAGGCAGTATGCAGTGTGCAGAGCGTTCGGTGAGAGGGCTGTTTCCTAGACTCATCAGGGTCCCCTGTGTTCCGCCGGTAATTTACTGACTTCATTCATTTGTGGTAATGAGCACACCGTGTAGAGGGTGCCAGCTGCTGGGATTGTCTTGGGTGCCTTTTTTCTACAGCAGAACAATGTCAAAAGCACAGCTGTTTTTTTAATTTAGTATTTGCCGCATGTGCCTGCTTTCTTATTACATTTTTAATGGAACAGTGCAGGTGAATATAGAATATAAAAAAATCTCAACTCACTTTCTGTTAATAAAGCGAATTTATTTAAAAATATATTGAGAAGTGTATGTGGAGGTGTATATGTATTCTTAAAAAAAAACAGGTCTGGAAGTTGGGACAAAAAAGATTTGGTTTAGTGATCTAGAACTTTATAATTGTATTGTGTCTATACTTTTTTACACATAGATACATTTAATATAGGCATACATTTTGTGTGTGTATGTATAATCTGTAAATTTTTCATAAATTATAATCCAAGGGATAGAAGAAATTTAGTATGTAAGCCATCCTTTACTATATGTGTTAAAAGAGAGAAGCTTTTTATATTTTGACTTTCAAAAAGGAAGTTAATCTGCAAATCATTCTTTGTTTATTGTGAAATGCAGTTTTAAATTTTTCTCTGAGAATATCTGTTTTTCCAAATGTGGACATTTCAACCAAATTGTGAAGCCGTGAGCGTAGCCTATCTGAGGAGGAACCAGCGCTTTTGCTGCTTCCTCATTTGGTCACTAGTTCCTTCCCTTTCTGTCCCTGGTTCCACGGCAGGGATTGAGTGCCTTGCCCTGCAGACCAAGGGCCACCACGAGCTGCCTCCTTTCACCCCTTCTCTCTCTGACTTTCATCTCTGCCTTCCTCTTTTTTGTCTTTTTTTCAATAGAAACCTTTCTACTTTTATCTTCTCTCACTACCTCTTTAAATTTTCTGTTAATTTAAATAAACTCAAGAATTTCAAGGGCTCTCGGCACACCCAAGTCTGTGGGCTGAGCTGGGTACACTTTACATACTTGTAGTTTCTCATAGATGGTGAGCCAAGGATATGGTACTGTGGGACACTTGGTTGCTTATAACATACTTTAAGGACAATGGATTCATGTTACAATTGCTCCTGCTCAGTTGGTGGTCTGGTTTTTCCTGAAGCTCCGTGAGATAGATTTTCTCTTTCAGTAGTCATTTATGCAATTCCTGCAATTTGTGGGGAAAAGGATTTAGTAATTTTGCTCTACTCTTGAATATTACAACTGTGCTACTTGGCAAGTCACCATTTGCATTTATCCAAGAAAAAAAATATATATATATATATATAATCAGGATCCAGCAAGGAAATCAGAAACCACTTTAAGTATTTACAAGAGAAGAAATTAAATACAGGAATTGTTTACACAGGTGATAGAGAACCTAGGAGCAAAACAGAGAGAGAAGTGAAGGAGGCAGAGTTTCAGGTAAGGCCCCAGGAGCCAGGGTCAGCTACCAGCACCTGGAACTATGACAGCTTTATTCAGCAGGAGCTAAAGCCAGAGAGGAGACCCATCAGTAACCTGAGAAGCCACTCAAGGTGGAGGGAGCTGTGGCCTCAGGTTTCTTCCCACTCCCATTCCCCTCCACAATCTTATGTCAGTGCTCAATCCCAGGGGGCAGCCAGTGACAATGGAAACCAGGAAAAGCAACCTGCAGAGGCCTGCTCCCCCCTTGCCCACAACGCAGATCTGAGTAGGATGGGGAAGGGTGGACGAAACGGGAAGGGGAAGAATGCATCCCACAGTGCATAGGCTGAGAATACCCACGCTAAAGTCACCACCTAACCCTAAGTGAGCTCTCTTGATCCCCAATACTGGCAAAATCTTCATGTGGGTTAAGGAACCTGAGGGGTCAGGGACCACAGACACTGAAGGTTATCCAGAGCCTACCTGTGGCTGCTTGAGCTACCTTTTCTTTGGGACTTTGTGGCTTTATTTTTCTATTTCCTCTCGCCCCCTGCCACTACTTCCTTTCTTAAACTCGCCCTGTGATCACTAGTCAGAATTACGTAAGTTTTCTGGGGAAAACCTCTACTCTTCTTCAGCTGGCTCACAGCCTTGCTTTAGGGTTAGAATAATTAAGTCAAGGATGATGTCTGCAGAAGAGTTGCTCAAACATCAGCAGTGGGATCAGGTCTTCTCCAAACACCTGCGAAGGAAGTGATCTCTGAGTACTGTGGGGGCTTCTTTGTCCCATACGGCATCACACATTGCCAAATATTTGAATCATTTGGGAATGTCTTTGCAATCCTGATAAAACATGGGTTTAATTTTTATATAAAACTTAAGACAATTTATTTACTTATTTCTAGAGAGATGGGAAGGGAAAGAGAAAGAGAGGGAGAGAAACATTGAAGTCTGAGAGAAACATTGATGAGTTGCCTCTTGCACACACCCTGAGCAGGGACTGAACCTACAGCCCAGGCATGTGCCCTAACCAGGAGCTGAACCGGCAAGCTTTGTTTTGCAGAACACGCTTGACCAACCAAGCCACATTAGTCAGGGCAAATACAGATTTCTCGAGGATAAAGACTTCCCTATAAAACATTACATTCCACAGGCAGTGCCACTCAAATAAGAGGTAATGCAATGTTTTTTATTGAAAATGAAGATTCTGATGGGGGAAATCTAAGCTGTAGTTTCTGTGCTTTGGGGTGAGTTATATGAAGTCTCTGAGGCTCATTTTAAAATAGAATTTTGACGAAAGAACTGCTTCTATGATCTTCAATTACAAAACAAGCAACTCGAGGGCAAGGGCAACATCGTACACTTAACGCACAGCATTTAGCACATCGTCTTCTACTAATAAGATGCTCAATACATATTTAACAAGGAAAGATCTGACTGACAGTTAGAAACATGATTGGCCAAGCTTTTAAAATATGAACATCTTTTGAAATTTTCTATTTAAAAAATTTACTAGAAGTAATAAAGTTAAGAATGGACTTATCATGAGTCGCAAACAAATGCCTATCAGGGATCAAGCAAGTAATGAGAAATGAACCTGGTTAAGACAAAAGAGAATGGTGGAGACTGTGGAGACAGGGGGATGGTTGGAGAGAGCTGTAACTGTCATCTCTAACGGGATGAGCTGACGTTCTGTCCTAGCCAATTGTCCTATAGAAAAATGGCAGTGATGTTGTCAGAACTTCTGGATATATATGAGAAATTTCTCTATTTGTGGCTAGGTTACCTACCTAAGGGATTCTGCTAAACACATAGCATACATCAGAAAATAATCTATTTCAGATTTCCAGGTGTTAATAATATTTATAGTTCTTAATAAGGTACTTATTTAAGATGCTTTGGGATTAGCTCATGATTTGGGAGCTCTAATTCCCCCTGTCTTCCTTTCCAATTTTAGCTGGAATACATCAGTGCAACTTTCTGTTGTACTCAGGTGCAGAGGTAACTACAAGGCAGGAAAGATTGCTCTTAGCTGTTGCCGAACTTTGACTTTCTATTGCCCAAGTACTAGCTGAGTAGTTGCTTTTTCATATTACCTTCCACAATAAACATGGAAAAAAACACCATGTGAATGATAACAGATTTTCCATCAACCAATAGATTATCAAGAGGTGTGCTTACTATATAGACACTATAAAGATTATGGATACTCCTGTGCTTAGAGGTGATTGACTCAGATAAGTGCACTATACTGTTGACAAGGCTGGGCTTGTGAGTTCTTGTGGTCAAACAACCAGCTAGTTTTATACACAAAAGTCCTCTGTGTACCAGAAGAGAGTAATGGCTCAAGCAGAGCCACTCGAGTTTCATAAGACCTATCCCCATTTGCAGTTGATTTGATGTTGAGGGGAGCTAATAAAGGTAGAAAATGAGTCATTTTCCAGCATGATATAACTAGAATTGGTTCTTAGCCCAGAAAGACATGAGTCAGTTCAGTCCTGATTCAGTTCCCAGTCTGATGCACAGTGACTCACTTCCCTGTGTGATGTCATGTTTGTTCCTTGTTAGATTTGACCTCCTCATTGTTTCATTGTATTAGGGTTGTTTTTTTTAAAAAAGAATAAACTGAGAATATTGTAGAAAAAGATGAAATATACCAAGGAATACATAATCAGACTAATAAAAAAGCCTTGATTTTTTTACAATGAGCCTGAAGGAGTAATTAAGCTTTAAATACCTATATTGTTGTTCCCATCTATTAGGATTGTTAATTTCCAAATAGCCTAGCTATTAGCCAACATTTTGCATGTAGAAAAAGAAAAATTGTATAACAGTAGTTCAGTCATTTGGTACATGTATTTATAAAAGGCAGCTGCTATTAAAAAAGACTTAACAATAGATGGTCAAATTAAAGAAGACGCAAGGATTGAGCATTCTAGAAAGATACATTAATTTATATACAGGAAGTAAACCAAAAACATGAAACACTTATTATGTAAACCATGGGCATTTTTAGGATACTTAGAATTATTTAAATATTATTTAGCCCTGGCTGGTGTAGCTCAGTGGATTGAGCACGGGCCTGCAAACCAGACAATCGCAGTTCGATTCCCAGTCAGGGCACATGCCTGGGTTGCAGGCCAGTTCCCTGCAGGCCAGTTCCCAGCAGGGGACGCACGAAAGGTAACCATACATTGATGTTTCTCT